GAAGACGGAGCGGGCTCTGCGCCGGGCGGGCGGGCGGCGGCGGGGGGGCCAGCGACCGCAGCCGGGGGAACGCGGGAGGATGGAGCAAGTGGAGATCCTGAGGAAATTCATCCAGAGGGTCCAGGCCATGAAGAGTCCGGACCACAATGGGGAGGACAACTTCGCCCGGGACTTCATGGTGAGTCCTCTCCCTGGTTGCCCCTCCTCTCGCCGGCACCGGAGCCCACCGCCGAGCCTCGCCCGGCCAGCCCGGGCCGCCAGCGCTTTGTGTGCTACAGTGAGGAGAAGGGCGGAGGGGGCGCGCACCAACCCCCAGGGCCGGGTGGTCTCGGAGGCCAACGGGAGGTGAGACCGCCTCCGCCCCTCGGCCTCCTTTCCCCTCCTCCCGCGTTCGCGACACCCTCCGCGGACGCTCGGGGCGCAAAGGGAGCGGCCACCCGGCCGAGTCCGCACTCGGCTCCACCGCCGGCGACCACCTATTGTTTCTCGTGCCGGGATCCGGAGGCGAGTGAGGTACATGCAGGCCGGGGGGCTCGTCCCTGCTCACCTCCCTATCCTACCTGCCCCTCCTGGGAGGGTCCAAGCAGAGTGTCTGCCCTGGGAGGAGAGCAGATCGCTGCTGACGGAGGAACGTGGGTATTGAGGTTGGCATTAACTCGTGGGGTCTGTTTGCTCAAGCTCGTCTCAGAAGTGGGCAAGGTAGGACTTCTGCCGTTTCTGGGTTCACAATTGTTATCTCAAATGCCTGGGAAAGGATTGTCCATAAGGAATCTTGTGGTTTGCTTCATCTCCATTTACCCCCGTCCCGTCTCTTGCCTCCTGAGACCCAGGTTGGAAATGGTATTGGGGGTCATAGCGACTTCAGGTTGAGGGGGTGTGTGTGGAGAGGGGAGGGTTCTCCTGAAGGAAACCTACTTCGAACTCCCTAGGGGATATTGCTGAAGGCTGAGGGGATGTGACTATCACTTCCTATCCGGGGTGGGGGTGGGGAACTTGGGAACAATAGTCCTGGTGGGGCGGAGGCGACGATGCGGGCCGAAGCCCTGAACTGGGAGATAACCTTCGCAGCCTTCCCCCTCCCCTTCCTTTCCGCCCTCTGCTAGTACAGGCGGGTTGGAGAGGAGGTTAAAAGTCTAGTTCGTGAAATTGCTCTAGATACATAACTGAGGGGGTCAGATCCGAAGTCGTGGGACCAGAAGTCGACTTCCTACATTGCCCCCCCCCCCGCACACACACACACACACCCTTTATTTTTCTGCTGGACAATGTTCCCTTTAGGGTTGTTTCCCGGCTTAGGAGGCGGTGGTTACGGCGGCTGCTCCTACGGATATTGCGCAAGACTGGGGCGTTGGAAACCCTGGAGGTCTGGGGAATGGAAAAGGAAGTGGGACTTTGGGAAGTGGTTGCTTCTTGGCGGGATTTGGGAATGGGAAATAAGCTAGGGAAAATTTTGCTCCTGGGCAAGGTACACCTCCAAGAATAATCAACTCCGAAATTCTCGATTGGAAAAATATACGGTTAATGCTTACAAAATGAATGAGCAGCAAACGTTGTCTAGTTTTTATTTCAAAGTTCAGTTTGTTTATACAAGGTGCAGGTGAGATGACTATTAGTACTGCAATACTTTTTCACATTTTAAAGAGACTTCTGTCTGTAGAGCTTTAACGTTCAAGTTAACAGCTTATAAAATCGATTCACAGTATTATAGTATTGTTGAGCTTTGTGATTCCCGCCTTTCTAGACCCATAATAGAGGAGGATGTGATTAAGGTTTTCTTAGTATCTTTTGTAGACGGAAAAATATAGATTAAATAATCTATGCATTGTTTTGAAGGGTTTTCTCTTGATATTTAGCCTATGTATTTTTGAAAAATTACTTTTTTATCTGAGAAGGGTAAAGAATAGAGGACATTTTCCCTTACTATTGAGAATTTTGATTGTGTTAGTATCTTTGAATAGTGTCACAATAATTTGGATGAAGTCCCCTTTTCACTACAGCAGCAAAAATAGAAGACAATATTTACTTAGAATACTTAAAAATGTTTAAAACTAGTCTTTTGCAGTCTTATTTTGGTTATGGAAGGATAGGTGATGTGGTCTCTGGTCACTTCTTGGCATGCTAGTCTTGTTATCCCTGGGCATATCCTGTCAGGAAAGAGCATTGTTTGGTGATGTAGGCCATCAGGACAGGTGCCCAGTCTCTGAACTCCTGTGCCTGGGAAGTAGCCTTAGGGTTCATGCTTTAGGGATGAGTCAGGGATTCCTATTGGAGATTTCATTTCTCAAGGACTAAATGAGTTTCATTTTTCTTCCATAAAACCCTGGGATAGTTAGGTGGTTCTACATTTGCGATTTGATGACTAAGGCTGTTCTTTTATAGTGCTTCTTTTTTTAATTCCGTGACTTGATAAGCAATGGCTATAATTAAGGCTGCTGGTTGGTACCGCTTTTTCTCTTGACTGGAAGGCTGGAGCGAAACTACCTTCAGCCAGAGAAAGAGAATAGAAGATCAGCTAACTGTTGTTACTCTTAAATTCTGATGTGAATTAAAAATGCATTTTTAAATGCTAGCATTTTGGAACTGAGCCTTAGAGATAATCTAGCTATTATAACCCTATTAAATTATAAAGTAATGTTCATTTCAAATTTTGAAATAATAGAATAACAATAATGCTTTACCCTTAAGAAAGCGAGGTGGGCATCCAAACTGGGTTCTTTCCATTCTATCCAGCCTTGCCATAGTCCCATTACCCAAAGCCTATCTTTGGTAATGTTTGTTTATATCTATATAACATTTTTATTTATGCAAATAGGCTTGAACTATATATACTCGTTTGTATCTTACTTTGGGCATAAATCTATAAATATATTAGTGCAGTTCTTTTTTAAAAACGTTTATTAAAGTACAGTTGACATGCAGTATTATATTAGTCTATTAACGTTTTTAATGCTTCTCTGCGACCGTACTACATACATATACCATTTTATATTCTTGGGGGTTTTTTTCTAATATTTTGATAACTTTTTCATTTGTAAAAATAGTTTTAAGTGGCTACATAACATTTCACCTGGCAACTATTTTGTAGCTTAACCATTTCCTTGTGGTTCACTGTTTAGGCCAGTCATTATATATTATCCTCTATTATACCGAGGGTGCCAAAAAAATGTCTACACATGACTTGTATTCACCTTTTGTTATCAGCATATATTGAGTATTACAATTTTAATATAGCTTTTTCCTTAACACATTGAGGACGGGGCATTTAAATATATAGATGCAAATCTGCATCTCTGGTCCACAATGTGTTAAAATGTGTGTACATTTTTTTGGTACTCTCTGTATATCATAATTCTGTAATGAACATTTATGCATAAAACTTCTTTATTTTGGATTACTGCATAAGATACCTTACAGTAGTGGAAGTACTAGGTACAAGAATATAAACATTTAATACATGTTTATAAATAACTTTTTGATGGTGTCGGTTTATACAGCTGTCAGTAATGTATAAGTGTTTATGTAATAATTATCTTGATCTTTGATAATTTGGTGTTTGAAAAATGATATCTTGTTTTAATTTGAATTTCTCGATGATTAGTGGTGGTAGAAAATTTTTCCATTAGTGATTAACTATTTTATGAGTTGTCTTGTTCTTGGCCTTGGCCTGTTGTGTGCCCCTCCACCCCACTTCCCCTTGAAGAGGAGAAAACTAAGGTATCCGGATGGTGTACACTATGGGGCTGAGATGATTACTTACATGTTGAAAGGTAAACATCTAATTTGTGACAAATCCAGAGCTTTTTATCTCAACTATTTCGACTTTTAGTCTTTACAAGATGGCTGGCAATGATCATGACGAGTAAATGTATAAGGTAGGATGGTGCCCATTCATGTTTGACAGATCTGTGTTTTACTCCCTTTTCTGCTTTTGGCTAGCTAGCTACCCGACCTTGAGCAGGCCACTTAACAGAAAATGAGATGACTGAGTTCTCTCATCTTTAAAAGAAGACACATACTACCTGCTTCACAGGGCTGGTGTATGGGACTGATATTTAGGGTCATGATCTAACCAATTATTGGGCTAAAGTTTGTATATCTTCATATAGCTAATTTCTATATTCAGTTACAGATAACTAGCGATATTAATAGAATTGGAAAGAGGCACCTGGACTTTTCATTTTTAGTCATTTTTCTTTTGCTTTTTAAAGCGTTATCATGTCTAATAAAAGGATTGAAACAAGTAGATTTGTTCGGACAAGGCTAACGGTTATCTCGTGCGTTAGACAGTTGTATATAAAAAAATCGTAAAAGATGACACAAACTACAAGCAAATATGGCAATTTCAGCTTAATAACCAGTTCTCTATCAACTTATGAAGATGAAA